CGAGGCAGAGTGTGCGAGCGAGAAAGAGAATGAGTAGCGGTCTATTGCTGGAGGAAGTGGGGGGAAGCACTTACAAATTTTTATACCCGTACTCAAAAAAGAGGTAAGGGGTATATTATATATGTGGTAAAAGTGGATGTGTGCAACGAAGAGAAGAAAACGTTTCCGACCCCATAAAGTATATATATTCTTGATCAGCATCAATAGCCGAGTCGATATAGCCATGTCTGTCTGTCCGTCCGTCCGTCCGTCCATCTGTCTGTCCGTCTTGTTGAGCGCCTGGATCTCAGAGACTATAAGAGTTAGGGTAACCAAATTTGGTTTCCAGACTTATGTGATATCACACTGCTACAAGTGTATTTCAGAATTTCGCCCAGCCCCCTTCCGCCCCACAAAGAACGAAAATCTGTGGCAGGCACAATTTTAAAGATACGATAAAACTGAAAACGCAGTATCGTAGAGAATGTCCATATCTACCAGACTTCCGAATCTGATTCAGATCAGATCATAATTATAGCCAGAATGACGAAATTAATTTTCAGTTGCTTCCCCTGCCCACCCTCCCACAAACGACAACGCAACTAATTTTCCTTCTCGCTCGCACAATCTGCCGCGTTCAGTGCGCGAGCAACCCCTAGCGGAGGAGATGTAGAATCTAAATGGTACGTCTATAATCTACATGTAAGATGTAGAATACACATTGTAGATGTAGATGTAGAGAAAGCCCATATCTACCAGACTGCTGAATCTGAATCAGATCGGATCATAATTATAGCCAGAATGACGAAATTAATTTTCAGTCACTTCCCCTGCCCCCTCCTGATAACGACAACGCAACTCATTTTCCTTCTCGCTCGCACACTCTGCCGCGTTCAGTGCGCGAGCAACCCCTAGCGGAGGAGATGTAGAATCTAAATGTTGCATGTACAATCTACATGTTAGATGAAGAATATACATTGTATATGTAGATGTAGATAGCAGATGTAGCAAAAAAATGTAAAGTGTAAAATTTTTTTTTAAATTCTACAATACAAAAAAATCCAATGTTCAAAAATGTAAATACTGAGTGAGTACGGGTATAAGTAGAGTCGCATCTTTAGAAGCGACTCACACGTTCCTTCTTATTTCAGATTGTTTGTTTCAATAATTTTTTTTAGCAATTAAAAAATATTTTGATTTTTATACCCGTACTCAAAAAAGAGTTAAGGGGTATATTAGATTTGTGGTAAAAGTGGATGTGAGTAACGCAGAGAAGGAAACGTTTCCGACCCCATAAAGTATATATATTATTGATCAGCATCAATAGCCGAGTCGATAGAGCCATGTCTGTCTGTCCGTCTGTCTGTCTGTCCGTCTTGTTGAGCGCCTAGATCTCAGAGACTATAAGAGCTAGGGCAACCAAATTTGGTTTCCACACTCATGTGATATCACACTGCTACAAGTGTATTTCAAAATTTCGCCCCGCCCCCTTCCGACCCCACAAAGGACGAAAATCTGTGGCAGGCACATTTTTAAAGATACGATAAAACTAAAAACGCAGTATCGTAGAGAAAGCCCATATCTACCAGACTTCCGAATCTGATTCAGATCAGATCATAATTATAGCCAGAATGACGAAATTAATTTTCAGTTGCTTCCCCTGCCCACCCTCCCACAAACGACAACGCAACTAATTTTCCTTCTCGCTCGCACAATCTGCCGCGTTCAGTGCGCGAGCAACCCCTAGCGGAGGAGATGTAGAATCTAAATGGTACGTCTATAATCTACATGTAAGATGTAGAATACACATTGTAGATGTAGATGTAGATGTAGATAGCAGATGTAGCAAAAAAATGTAAAATGTAAAATTTTTTTTAAATTCTAAAATTCTAAAAATCATATGCTCAAAAATGTACATATGTATATACTGACTGAGTACGGGTATAAGTAGAGTCGCGTCCCCAGAAGCGGCACTCACGTTCCTTCTCGTTAATATTTATTTCAATTTATTTCATGAAGATATCTTTATTGGTTCAGAAGTTATTAATTTAGCAAGCTGCAAAGGGCATTTGCTTCACTGTTCGACGGACAGAATAGAAAATGCCATATACAGTAAAGCTTAGACGAGCGATGGAGCGATAGAAGGAAAGCGTAAGAGCAGCTCAGGGCTGCTATAACAGCTTAGACGTTATACCTGGAAGATTGAAATGATGAAGGCTGGATAGAGAGTTGGAAGAACGACCGCGGCCGTGCATAAGTATATACGGTATGACAATGACTTTGTACAGTGGGCAGTGAAAATAGTGAACAATAGTAAGTATCTACTATAGACTTAGATGAAGGTCACAGCAACCAGTGTTATTTATCGCTATAAGCTAGGTTAATTGTTTGTAACTTTAACCTCTTTAAATAGCCGGAATTCTATGGGCTCTTGAGAAGCTTGCACAAATGTAGAAGAACCGCATAAGCGCAATGGTATAGTGCAATGGCAGGGTTAGGCTGGAACACATTTTGTAGTGTAGTACACTAGCTCTTTCTCTGTCACTGTAGAGTGCCTTAAAGAGTGATTCCTGCGTCTCAAAAACCTTTTTCTTTTTGCGCATTTGTGACTTCAGCAGGTGTGACGTCAAGTTCTATGCCTTTTAGTATCACTTTCAGGTCCTTGTTGCTTTTTAGTTGATACGTGTAGCAGGTTTTCTTGGTGTCTTTTAGATATTTAGACACCATTCGGAATCACTCTTCGGCTTTTCGGCATTATCAGCGAACAATCCAACATTTGTTATGTGATTCGAGCTTTCACAGTTTATTTTTTATTTGCTGCCCTGTAAGTTTTGTTTCCTGAGTTTTCGTGTACTTGAATTCAATCCTTGTAAATTTTGTTTTGGTTCTTGACTCGCAAGCTGTGGCAATACCGGAATTAACATTGCAATTGATGTTGTTTTTGCTACGATTGCAGTAGTTTAGGGAGTCATTGTACTTATTGCTGTAGACGCAGTGTGGTCCAGTGAGTTCCAAGACGTAAGAGTTCCAATGTGCAGATAGAGAGAGCAAAATCGTGCCTTCTAGCTATCAGCGGTCAGGTGAGCAGACTGGCTTTTCATTGCATGGCGAATCGTGCTATTTGAAGGAGTGAACCCCATTTCATTGTTCCATGTAGCTTCTACGCTCATTCGTTGGACCGCGGCTCATTTTGAACAATTTGCAAAATTTTAGAGGCGCACATTAAAAGGGGATCAAAAGGGGAATTTAGTGAAAATATAAATTAGTATAGCTCGAAGGATTGCGGAATATGTTCTTTATGTCGTACCTATGTAAGATCTACTATGTCACAAGATAGATTAAACTCTTCGGCTATATTATCTATTAAAAATGAGATTGCTGCTTAGCTTGTCTTATTGAAGACTATAGAAATATTCACCCAGGCCAAAGAACAAAAGTAAAATTAAATGAAGTGATAACTATAATTATCAGAGGGTGCCTACGCTCATATACACCCCGGGCGTGATAACACCTAACGCCGGCCATGTAGCGGACAGTAAAATGTTTATTCACCGTAAATAACCATTGCCTCCGCATATTCTTGCTCGCTTTTGAGGTGTTCTGCGTGGGGCACGGACAATTCGGCACCTCGGCCATGCAGCTAGTCTTGCGCTGATCGTAATTTCGTTATTAACATTACATACCTACAAACGACCTTATATACACTAGATTCGCTATCATACATCAAATTAATTGTACATTAAAAAATTGAACCCGCTCGACCTTTTTATTCAACAGCACAGCTAGTGAAAAAACTCACTAACTTAATATATATTTACTTGAAAAAACTGAAAAAATATCGTTAAAACAATCAATCTTTTTCAATAAATCATAACAAAATACAATTATACAACACAAAGACGGTTTTCTGCTGAAATTGTTTTGGACGTGACCGCGCCTACTGATCTGTCAATTAGAGCCAAACCTCCAACTCTATAATGAGGAAAACCATCCTGCTGCCTCCTTGTCACACCTTTCCATTTAGGCATTAATTTTTTTCCGGCGCTCTGACTTTCTGGCGATCATTCGTCATACTTTCCCAACCAAACAAGTTAACCCTAGAACATAACGCTTTTCTAATCATTTACGGTCCTAGCTTCGTTGACTTTGGCCCATCTGCCGTGTCAAAGGTGGTCCGAGGGCCAAAACCAATTTATCTTACTGCCTGCCATATCGGCTTAAGTTTTTTTACACTTTTATTTTTATACACGTATTTGTGGTAAAAGTGGATGTGTGTAACGCAGAGAAGGAAACGTTTCCGACCCCATAAAGTATATATATTCTTGATCAGCATCAATAGCCGAGTCGATATAGCCATGTCTGTCTGTCTGTCTCAATGAGCGCCTAGATCTCAGAGACTATAAGAGCTAGAGCAACCAAATTTTGTTTCCACACTCATGTGATATCACACTACTACAAGTGTATTTCAAAACTTCGCCCCACCCTTTCCGCCACCACTAGGGACGAAAACGCAGTATCGTAGAGAATGACCATATCTACCAGATTGCCGAATCTGACTCAGATCGGATCGTAATTATAGCCAGAGTAAAGAAATTCATTTTCAGTTTCTTCCCGCACCTCCTCCAGCAAGAGACCCGCTACTCATTCTCTTTCTCGCTCGCACACTCTGCCGCGTTCAGTGCGCGAGCGCCCTCTAGCGGAGAAGATGTGGAATTAAATGGTACATGTAAAATGTACTTGTTAGATGTGGAATATACATTGTAGATGTAGATAAGAGATGTAGCAAAAAAATTTTTCAAAATTCTACATAAATTATAAGCTCAAAAAGTTGTATACTGACTAAGTACGGGTATAAGTAGAGTCGCGTCCCCAGAAGCGACTCACACATTCCATCTCGTTATATATCGTATTTACATTGCACACCAAAAATATGTTTTCATATTGCACTGTTAATTCTCACTAACGCAAGATAAACAGCTTCATATTTACGGATATCATTCTTATTTTCTTCAATTACTTACTTTTATTCGTTCTATAGTGGATATTTTCGTCTGTTTGCAATCAGTACCAGCGATATATGCAGCGACAATACAAATACTGAAAAAAACAAAACGAGTTTGTAATAATATATAATAATGTCCTTAACTCTTAACTCCCTGAGCCGCATTCAGAGCCAAACTCATCAGCCGTTTTCGGGTGAACAACTGTCATCGCTTGTGGTCGTTGTTTTCCAGTGGCCGCTGCTGTCATTGATAGGCCCCCCCTCGCTTTTATGTGCATGGCTGCTTCCTCCCAGTGGCTGCTGCTGTCATTGATCGACCCCCTCGCTGTTTCATGCATGGCCGTTTCCTTCCTGTGGCTGCTGTTCGTTCGTTCTCTTTCATAGTGACCAGACGTGTTTTTGTTTTGCGCTCCGCATTTTCCTTTTATTTTGCTTAAACAACCGGTGTTTTTATCTTTTTAATTCCCATACTCAAAAAAGAGTTAAGGGGTATATTTGTGGTAAAAGCGGATGTGTGTAACGGATAAAAGGAAACGTTTCCGACCCCATAAAGTATATATATTCTTGATCAGCATCAATAGCCGAGTCGATAGAGGCATGTCTGTCTGTCCGTCTAACCGTCTGTCCGTCCGTCCGTCTTGTTTGACGCCTGGATCTCAGAGACTATAAAAGCTAGAGGAACCAAATTTTGTTTCCAGACTCATGTGATATCACACTGCTACAAGTATATTTCAAAATTTCGCACCGCCTCCTTCCGCCACCACAAAAGACGAAAATCTGTGGCAGCCACAATTTTAAAGATACGCTAAAACTAAAAACGCAGTATCGTAGAGAATGACCATATCTACCATATTGCCGAATCTGAATCAGATCGGATCATAATTATAGCCAGAATGACGAAATTAATTTTCAGTTGCTTCCCCTGCCCCCTCCTGCTAACGACAACGCAACTCATTTTCCTTCTCGCTCGCACACTCTGCCGCGTTTAGTGCGCGAGCAACCCCTAGCGGAGGAGATGTAGAATCTAAATGTTGCATGTACAATATACATGTTAGATGAAGAATATACATTGTATATGTAGATGTAGATAGCAGATGTAGCAAAAAAATGTAAAATGTAAAATTTTTTTTTATTCTAAAATTCTAAAAAATCATAAGCTCAAAAATGTATATACTGACTGAGTACGGGTATAAGTAGAGTCGCGTCCGCAGAAGCGACTCACACGTTCTTCTCGTTTTCTCTTTAAATTAACTCTCCTACTAACTAAAATTAAAATCAATCCTTACCGCAGGTGCATGCCTAATAATTGTGTAAAAACACAACTTATTTGATGAATTTTGTGCGTCGGTTAGTCGTGTGTTTGTATTGTTGCTTTTCGTAAGTACGCCCTCTCATTACATTTAGCCGCTCTTTATCGTAGCTTTTGCCGTCTATCTCTCTCTCTATCACCTAACTCTCAATAACTGTTCTTTCGCTCTCGCTCTTGTAACTTTCTGTGCAGTAACGCTCTCACTTATAAACTGCAATACATAAGCTGCAACCACTCTCCTCTCTTATCTTATTTCTACCGATTTCGCTTTAAGCATTCCTCTGAGCATCTGCTCTGCACATTAGTCTGACTGCTATTTGTTTTGAACTTTTTTTTTCGAATTAAAAAAATAAAAGACATTATGGAATTTGCTGTCGTCTGCGCCAAAAAACGTGCCAGAAGCAGATCACCCATAACACTAGTCAACACGATTTTTCCTCAAGGAACAAAACGAACTTTTTCTTAAGGATTTGGGGCTTAGAAATGGTTTGATGATATTTTTTTTTTCTATGGCAGAACTTTTTTTTGAAGAATTTTTGAAAACTGGTATTTTTTTTTAAGCTTTTTTCAGAGGTAGCGCTTGTTTTTTTTACATAGCTCTAGTATCTTACGTCTCGTTGTAAAGAACTTTGCTATTTTGAAAAGGTAATTAAAACAGCTAGAAGATAAGCCCAAATACTTTGTGATTTCAGCTTACCGTCTGGGAAATAAAAAGCATTGAAATGCAAAAATTATGATTTTTGTGCGGTATTTGTTACGAAATTTTGATTTTTAAAAACTCAGGAAAAGTCGAAAAAATTATATCTTGTGTCCTCTATTTTTCTGTGTATAGGTGCGTTAATTTGGCGTCGTTTAAGGTATCGCTCATTAAAATCTATGGAGAGACTTTGGAGATAAAATTCGTTAACCAAACCTAAAATATGAAAAAAATGAACAAAAAATACCTTTTGGAAGGTTGCGAGCCCCACTGCCCATTGGGAACAAAGCAAACGAACAAGGGTTGTACATTTGGTACCTTCTAGCTGTTTTAATAACCTTTTCAAAATAGCAAAGTTCTTTACAACGAGACGTAAGATACTAGAGCTATGTGAAAAAAACAAGCGCTACCTCTGAAAAAAGCTTAAAAAAAAATACCAGTTTTCAAAAATTCTTCAAAAAAAAGTTCTGCCATAGAAAAAAAACCATAATTCTTTAAAAAATTTTAAATCCCCATATCTATCAGAAAAAGTCGGTTTGGATCCTTGAGGAAAAAAAAGTTCGATTTTGTCGAGTAGTGTAACCAGTCCAATATCCCTTGCTGGCTTTGCGAAAGCGTAGTGCACGCAAAATGTGTAGGTGATGATATTTCCCAAAAAAAACGGCCTGCATTATAGTTGTGAGGAGATCCGTGCTGTGGAAAACGACATGCGTTTGTTCATGAGGCAGACGCGGAAAGGCTTCAAAGAGCTAATCGTAGGCTTTAAACATCAATATGATCGGCTCTTGGCCATGGGCACTTAGTTCAGCAGTTTACAGCTGCTGGCTGAGTCTCCGAAGCGCAAAAAGTCTACTCCGCGGGACTTGCAAGTGCCGACTGCCTCATGTCCACCGGCAGCCGAAAAACTTACTCCGACCACTCCCTTAGTGCAGCAGTTGATTACGTTTGCTACTCCAAGGGCAACGATCGCTGCTGGTGATGCAGATTCGGGAGCCGAATGCGTCTCTTCGGAGAGTATGCAGGTAGAAATGTCTGTAACGTCCGTGTCCGTCGAGTCCGCACCCAACTTCTTAAATATCCCATCAGTTTCGGTGACACCAGCTAATAGATGTCCAGGACCACCGGATACTGGCATCATAGGTACTAGGCCTGTGGTGCCAAAACAACTGGTGGGAGTCCCACCAAAGCGACAAGTTTTTGTCTCGCGTCTAGCCCCTGATCTGACATCCACTGATGTAACTGCTTTAAATTTTTCATATGCCAGGAAGATAAGCGTCTCCCGGACTCAATTTGAAACCATTTGTTCCGAAAAAAATTTTGACCGGAGAATTTGGTGGTGAAAGAATTTATGGCTAAGAAAAAGAATAAGCCCCTCATAGCTCTCCTTAAGTCAAAATCAGACCAGTGCTCCATCTCCACCCTCATCTTCCCGGTCTACTTCCACCCATCCAAAAAATTAACTTCCTCTCTTTTAGTTACCTACCACAATGCTAGAGGCTTGCGTAGAAAGCTCAGCACTCTTTTTCTTAAAACTCAGTGGACTCAATCTTCACGTCGGAACATTTCATGGTCCAGGTTCAACAAGACCTGAAATTCCTGTGCGTAAAACTGATTCCCCCAGGCTTTTCCATTTTCATTACTTGCTCGTATATTCCACCTTCCTCGGATATCTTAATAAAGGAGCATCACCTGTTCGCTTTATAAACTGTTTATTCCTCGCTATCAGATAAAGACCATATGACAGTTCTTGGTGATTTCAATTTGCCAGGTACTCTTTGGTCTTCGGTCGTTTGCTTCAGCCAGCTCTTGTCAGAGGCTGCAGTAATATCTCTCTGGAGTTCGAATTTGAAAGCAGAGTACATTTTGAACGTTCTCTCCTTTGCATAATTGTTGTTTTTTCCGTCGTCGCTTCGTTGCTTTTACCGGTGCATACATATCGCATATACAAGTGCCAAAAAAATTTCTATAACCGAAAACATGGGCAACAGAAAGAATAGTAAAAGGAGTGGATCGTTTGCTATGGGAAATGAAAGTGATTCTGTGACATTTGGCGCTGCTCCATCTGGTGAAAGTTTTAGTGCGAACGCAGCCAGCACCCAAGTCCCTGTTCCTGTATCTCGTATTTCCTTCATGAGACTGAAGGCTTGAGCTATTTTCGATCGACTAGAGTCCATACGCACAGAGATGGATAGTGAAAAGATGCGCCAAATGGATGAATACGACTTGCGAGGGCTGTTGGAATCATTGACGGAGCTTAAATCATTTGTTGGGCCACAGTTGGGAGTGGATTTTGGTCAAGCCAGTGAACGCCAAACGACCGTCCATATGGTTGGGCCGCCAGCGCGAGCTTGGAAGTCGCACGAGTAATAAACATTTTTCCACATTCAACGCCAACTCTAGTGAATCGCAGTCAATCGTTATAATGTCCAATCGATCTCGGTTACCTCATCTGGAGCTGCCCAAATTCAGTGGAATTTGTACGGAGTGGGACAATTTCTTCTCAATGTTCACCGCGATTATTGACAAGGACTCTGAGCTGAGCCCTATCGAAAAACTGCAGCATCTACGTTCCTGCTTGAGTGGCGCAGCCCTGAATACCATCAGCTCGTTGGAAATAAATAAAGCTAATTATATCGTAGCATTAGACATTCTGAAGCGACGCTTAGACAACAAACGTTTTATTTTACAGGCACACATCAGGGGGATATTTGGGTTGGAGAAGGCTGACGCATCGGTGGGCAGGTTGAGGGAACTGACAGACAGAGTTACCTCGCATATTCGTGCTATGGAGTCGCTTTCAAGCAAGGAAGAAGTGGCGGATTGTATTCTCATTCAGACTGCTCTTCAGAAGCTGGACAAAGGCTCTCAAAAAAGATGGGAGGAGTCTTCGACGAATCAAGAGCTGCCATCTTGGGAGAAATTATCTGGATTCTTGAAAAAAAGATTTCGAACGCTTGAAAATGCGGATCAATCCATGCAAGGACAAGATGGTCAGGTTGGCAAGTCAGGAAAACCCGTGAGTACGAATCAAAGAAAGTCGTTTGTAGCATCGAGCGCTCCAGTTTCCTGTGAATTGTGCGAGAGTACTC